GTTTCCTTGGAGGTCTCGTCTCATTGCCTGCAGTGAGTTGCTCACGTGTTTCTTTCTCTTTCTCTTCCTCATCTTTAGTCTCCCCAAGCAGAGAGGAAAAAATGAACATGCAATATTCAAATCAACCAGAGGAAAACTCACTTTATTTGCAGAGACATAGAAATATTGATAGAAAACGAAATTCCAAGCAAATAGTATCTGAAATCAAGCAAGAGTAATTATATTCATATCCAGTCAAACAGACTGTAAGCCAAAATCAGTAATGAGAAAAAAGTACAAAGGCTGACTGAAGCAAGCAGTTCTTTGAAAAGCTAAAATTGATAAACCTTTATCTAAACTAATGAAAAGAAACGGAAGAACCAAACTCACAAAATCAGAGATGGTACAAGAAATATTACAAAAGATATCACTAAAAATCATAGTATCATTAGACTATTTTGAAATATTATATGCCAATAAATTGCAAAATACAGAAGAAATGGACAAATTTCTAGATACATGTCATTTACCAAAATTCAACCTTATACATATATAGTTTGCCATAATTAAAAAAGAGGATACTAAAAAAAAAAACTTAAATAGATCAATTATAAGCAATGAGATTGAAATGGTAACAAAGTCTCCCAAAAAAGAAATGCCTCTGGCCAGACAGGTTTACTGCTGATTTTTACTAGACCCTTACAAAAGAACTAACACCAATGCTCCTCAAACTATTCTATGAAGTCGAAAGGGAAGGAACTCTTCTAAACTCATTCTGTATCAAAGCCAGACAAAGACACAACAACAGAAGAAAACTATGTATCACTATCCTTGATAAAGATGGATATTAAAATCCTCAATAAAACACTTGCTCAGTCCTAGCCCAAGTCCAGTGAGTGTGCGGAGAGCTTCCTGCTACCCTGCGCCGGCTGGACCAGTCCCAGCCCAGGTGCAGCATGGGCCAGACCTTCTTCCAGCCCCTTGGACCGCCCCCCACGACTCCGCAGTGCCTCCCCCACCTCGCCCGCTGAGTAGGATTTTCTGCCCAGTTCCGGGAGCCCCCGGACCCAGTCCTAGCCCAGGTCCGGTGAGTGTGAGGAGAGCTTCCTGCTAC